TTGGACTGTTTCCTCCCCCACCCCGCCTGTTCTCTACCCAGGGATAAAAACTTTTAAAAACTAGTGGTGAAGGTTTTGCTCAGTTTAGACCTCCACCCCAAAATGGATTTCTTCACAAGTGTAAAGGGTGAAGCAGAAGTCAGGCTTGGGTGCTGAAGGGATTATTCTGAGTGAATAAGTAGATCCTGGGTGACCCTTTTTAAAAAAATGAGTATTGTGTGTGTGCGTGCACGCGCGCATGTCCCTGGAAGCCATGTTTGACTTCTGACGACCTCTAGGGGCTTGGACATTTCAGAGAAGTAGCCTGCTATTACCTGTCTCTGTGTCCTGGCCCTGGTATTCCTTGGAGGTCTCCCATCCAAGTACTTGCCAGGGTCGGCCCTGCTTAGCTTCCGAGATCAGACAAGATTGAGCTCTCCTGGGCTATTCAGGTCAGGGCCTGGGTGACCCATTGTTCTGAGTCATTGCATCTCTCCAGGAGAAGGAGGAGGCAGTAACCAGCCAGCCTTGAAAATGCTTTCACAGGACTCTGCCTCACTGGCATCTATCTTGTTTCTCTTTGACGCAAGCAGTGCCCTGCACTTAGGGTATTGGGGTGACGTGCAGAGGAGAAGAAGAAGAGTTGCTTATACCCCGCCCTTCACTCGAAGTCTCAGAGCAGCGTACAATCTTCTTCCCTTCCTCTCCCCACAACAGACACCCTGTGAGGGAGGTGGGGCTGAGAGAGCTCTCTGAGAACGGCTCTTGAGAGAACAGCTGAGAGAACTGGGTCTGATCCAAGGTCACCCAGCTGGCTGCATGTAGAGGAGGAGTGGGGAATCAAACCCAGTTCTTCAGACTAGAGTCTGCTGCTCTTAACCACGACACCAAACTGGCTCTTTAAGCTATAAACTGCACCTCAGCAGGAGGAGTCTGATTGCTAACACTGCAGCTTGGCAACCCTAAGTATAGGCCATCCCTAGCTGAGCAGAAAGCACTAAAGGGGCTGTGTACAAAAGTGGACACACGCAGAAAGGGTTCTTGTTCAAGCATGGTGGTGGGGAGGGACCTCAATAGGAAGGCAGAATATGAGCCAGGTTACTACTGTGCTCTGAAAGAAATTTAATATATCTGGTCTCTGCTCAACTTGTGAAGAACCACCAGGCTTTTTTTTTTTTTTAATTGTAACTTAATTTTTTTTTCTGCACTGGAGTATCATTTTGGTTGTCCAGAAAGGTAAAAAAAAATTACGCAGAATGTGTTAGTTCTACGAAAAGGGAATTATGGGGGGGAGTTAATATAATTCTAAACTTTTCCTCTGTTCTAATACACCATTGTCTACGAAGGAGTTAGGTTGTGTGGACAGAATTAAAAGAGCTGGTTCTCGATGGAGTGCATATTTTCATCAGCTGCCTTTATAAAAAGGTAAAGGTTCCCTTGCTCGAAAGCTAGTCGAGTCCGACTCTAGGGTTGCAGTACTCATCTCCGTTTCAAAGCCGAAGAGCCAGCGCTGTCCGAAGACGTTTCTGTGGTCATGTGGCCGGCATGACTAAACACCAAGGCGCACGGAACACTGTTACCTTCCCACTGAAGTGGTACCTATTTATCTACTTGCAATTTCTTGCTTTCGAACTGCTAGGTTGGCAGGAGCTGGAACTAGAGACGGGAGCTCACTCCGACATGCGGCACACTCGGGTCTCGGACTGCTGAACTACCGACCTTCCACAGCCTGCAGTTCAGCGTTTTAACCACTTGAGCCACCACAGCCTTTATAAAGCAATGTAAATAATTTGTGTTTGGGACAAAGCAGTCATTAATAATAATAACAACAGTAAAAACAATAGTAATAATAATCTTGTGAAGATACAATTCCCAAGAACTTGGCTAGATCTCAAATTGCAGAACATCTACCAAATATCTGACTGTGACAATGCTTCCTCTTCTCCTCTTCCTCCTCCACCACCACCACCAAACTTTGCCTGGGTCCCTAGAAGAACTGTTCTTACTGCTATTGGCAACTGTCTGGGATTGATTTTGCTGCTTCCAGTTTTGTGTCTATGATACCAGGTGGAGAAAGTATGCAGCTAGATGAATGTTTCAGTCCTAAGGTTACCAAGCTGATGGGGAAAAATGCCCTGTCCTTTAAAAAATGTGGAAATGTGCATGGCATGATTTTAAATAACATCATGTGATAGCTGCTGCAGAACAAATTGATATTAAAGGGAAAGCTGGATGGATCAGTTTAAAAGTCGGCAACACTGTTCAGGTCTAACTTGGAGGGATTTACACAGACTTAGGCTAGGAAAGCTACTGGGTTGGATCTACCCAGCTTTTCTGCAGGTTAAAAAAGGGGTTCCCTTTGACCAGTGTTCCCTCTAAGCTGAGTTAGTGTGAGCTAGCTCACAGTTGTTTAGCCTCCAGCTCACACATTTTTGTCTTAGCTCAGGAAGGATGGCTCCAGAGCAAACTAATTTATGCAGCAGCCGAATCGCTCGCTCACAACTTCAATGCCAGCAGCTCAGAAAGAAGAATTTTTTGCTCACAAGACTCCACAGCTTAGAGGGAACATTGCCTTTGACCACCCAAAAAGCTATTCTGGGGGATCATGGAATCAGCTGTAGTAAGGTTGGGAACAAGGTGAGACTGAGTGAAAATGTTTGCCAAATCTGCATCACGGTCTCCCTGCCTCAGGTCCCCCATCTGAAATATGGGGATAATACAGTAGCCTACTTTCCTGGGCTTTTGGAAATGATACAAAGATAATGAGAGAGACAGTGTGGTGTAGGGGAACTCTTTAGTGATATTCACCACTAGGTGGTGAGCTAGACTTGCTTTTTTAAGGTAAGAGACAGTTCAGAGGTGGTTTGCCATTGCCTGCCTCTGCGTCAAGCCTCTGGTGTTCCTTGTAGGTCACCCATCCAAATACTAGCCAGGGCTGACCCTGCGTGGCTTCTGAGATCTGATGGGATCAGGCTAATGTGAGGATAAAATGGAGGAAAGGGGAATAATGTATATATACTATAATACTATAATGTATATATACTAATGTGTGTGTGTGTATATATATATTTATTCTGTCCCTTTAAATGGCTTAATGGGGTGTTATTTACCAGGTGTTATTTACCTCCATGTCAAGAAAAGCTTCAGTTGCCCATCTCCACATGTTATACTTCTTTTAAAAGGACAAGAAATATTTTCTTCAGGCCTTTGGACACCCCTATAAGGTGCCAGAGATTGATAATTAAAATTAATTGAGTGAAGGCCTGAGTTAAAGGCAGATAATACAATCACATTAACCATGGGATGTCCCTGCGTAGAGAGATTTTCTGAGGCAAATCATATTGTTCCCATAGCTTCCTTCATGGCTTCAGAATTACATAAGTGAGGATGCAGCCTCGCTGATATTTGTGTCAGTGGCATGGATGTTTTATAACAGAGAGCGCTAGTATGTGAGCCTCTCTAATATGTGTAGTGGACGTGGAAACATGACTTCATTTTAGTCAGGACTCAGTTTAGGACATAGGAAGTGATAATGAAACGGAGAGTACCTCTGAGCACTTATAAAGTGCCTTTCCCTCAGCATTAAATCATTGTAATCAGTACTCACACCTGGCATTTGTATGAAAAGCATCGAAGATACAGGGTCTTTCAGGCAAGTTTGAGCCCTGGGGTTGTTGGCGGGGAGCATTTGGAGGGTAGACACTGAGGAAACCAAAGTTGTGGTGCCTGCAGTGTTTTAGGAATGCGCTCACTCTACGGTAAAAACTGTAGAGATCAAGGGAATCCCTAAAGAAGGAGAAGAGAAGAGATTGGATTTATACCCCGCCCTTCACTACCCAAAGGAGTCTCAGAGCGGCTTACAACCTCCTTTCCCTTCCCTTCCCCACAACAGACACCCTGTGAGGTAGGTGGGGCTGAGAGAGCTCTGGGCAGAAACTGCTCTTTTTCAAGAACAGCTCTTATCAGAACTATGGCTTGCCCAAGGCCATCCAGCCAGGTGCAAGTGGAGGAGAGGGGAATCAAACCTGGTTCTCCCAGATTAGAGTCCGCACACTCAACCACTACACCAAACTCGTTGCTAGCTCTGGGTTGGGAAATACCTGGAGATTTTGGAGTGGAGCCTGGGGAGGAGTGGGGAGCAATGCTCCCTCTCAGTTGAGGCGTCTTGTGAGCTACTGGCATTAAAGTGGTGAGTGGGCAATTTGGCTCCTGCATAAATTAGTTTGCACTCCTTCCTGAGTGAAGGCAAAAATGCGTGAGCCGGAGGCTAAAAAACTGCAAGCTAGTTCACACTTACTCAGCTGAGAGGGAACACTGGTGGGGAGGGACCTCAGGATGGCACAAAGCCATACATTTCACTCTCCAAGGCAGCCATTTTGTCCAAGGGAACTGATCTACGTAGTCTGGAGATCAGTTGTAAAAGTGAGAGGTTTCCAGGCCCCACCTGGAGGTTGGCAACCCTAAATGGCATAGAGTTCCTCCTCCAAAGCAGCCGTTTTCTCCAGTGGAGCCAATCTCCGTCGTGTGGAAACAATTGCAATTCCAGGAGATCTCCCGGCCCCACCTGGAGGTTGACAACCATCCTGCAAACCAGGTGGCTTACATGAGGCCTGCCGGTTTCCCTCCTAACAATTTGCGTCCGCCTTAAGGGTTCGGCGGCCGTTCCACCTTAAAAGCCGGAGCGCTGGGCTCGCCCATCCCTCTGCTGGATGCTGATGCTGTGGCTGCCTGCAGCAGGCGAGAGGGATACAGGCACTGCAAGCAGCATCCCAGGCACGGCGGGACCCACCAGCCCAGCTGAGAGAGCCCACCTGCTCTGCTGCTGCGGGGTGACGATCTAGGACAGGGTCCCCCGTCGTCATCCCCCCCTCCCTGCACGCCCCTTCTTTTTTGCAACCTGCCCAGTGCCTGCTTGGCCCTCCGCTCTCGCCTGCCTTTGGGAATTGTACCTCCTCCGCCTCTTCGCCGCTCTCTCCCCGCAAAAGCCGCCTGCCAGGCGAGAACGCCCTGCCCCAGCCAGCATGACCACCGAGGCCAACGAATGCAGCATCAAGGTGCTCTGCAGGTTCCGGCCTTTGAATCAGTCGGAGATCGTACGGGGAGATAAATTCATCCCGGTTTTCCAAGGGGACGACACCGTCATCATTGGGGTAAGCGGAGGCTGGGGGGGAGGTCAAGGTAGAGGGGGGGTGGCTGCGGTGCTGAGGTTCCAGGGGGAAAGGGGGTACCGCTGCTGTCTCCCGCTGAGCCGGGCCTGTGTTGTGGGGCGGGCTGCCCATGGGGAGAGCCGGTGGTTCTAGCATCAGCCGGCATGTTTGGTGGCCGTCTCTCCTCTGTTGTTTCCTAATCCTGGGACTGGAAACTCATAGCATCTTTTTTTTTGGGGGGGGGCAACCTGTTTGAAGCAGAGACTTTTAATCTTTCCCTGAGAACGGGGCGAGGCAGGATGCTTTCTTTCATTGGCTTGGCTGCTCCTCCATCCTTAGCTCTGCAGACCTGAAGTCACTGGGTGTGGCTACCTTCCGCTGTCGGTTTGGGCTGGGGGGGGATGGGGGAGAACCGCTGGACATGGGAGATTTAAAAAAACAATTGGATTTCCATTCCGAACTGTTTTATGACCTGTCCCTTGACTTTCTCGTTCCAAGTCTGACTCCTTCTCTATAAGATCAGATGTTCTTGGGTTATCCCTCAAAGGGTGAAAGTTCGAATGCTGGCATATATCAAAGTTGGTTTCCTCCCTCCACCCCTCATGATACCTCACTGCGGGCTAGCATCACAACGCCAATAGATTCAAGCGTTAAGCAGCATCCCTGCGCGGTACAGTTTTGAAAGGATGCAGGTATCTTGCTAAGGAGGCTGGCAAGTTGTTTACTTAGAGCTGGCACCGCCCTGTTTGTCCCCATGGCCGTTGTGTTTTGTTGCTTAGTGAAAAATCTGGGCTTTTGACCTTCCGGATGTTTGCAACTTTCAGTCGCTGAAATGCACACTCTGTGGGGTTTCTGATTTCTCCCAGGGATGTCTGGGAGGGGTGGTAACACTGCCAGAGCCAACCGGCTGGTACTGGCACCCAAGAGTGATGCTTGTATGTCCCTTTCCTGATGTGCCACAGAAACTATTGATGCATGAGTGCCTTGGGATAATCAGAGAGCCACCCAGCATTAGGCAGGCGCCCACATGATAGGGTACATGGGAGATGGTCACCCTACTCCAAGTGTGATCCACTGACCTCTTTATGCTATTATGAGCAACTGATTCACTGGATCCTGCTCTGGAGTAGGGGGGGGATCTGCTCAAGGTGACCCAGCCACTTAACGGCATGCACAGCGATTAGAACTCAGGCCATCTCCCCCCCCCCCCCATTTTTGTAGCATATCTTTTTGTGGTTTTTGAATGCCTCAGTTATCTGTCTGCTGCAGAGAAAGTTATTCATCTGCGTGCTAATGGGGCCTGACGCCTCCCCTGCTGCACCGGCAAATGGAGCCTTACAACATCAAGCTTATTTTCCACTTGGGTACCAAGTGGGAAGGAAAGAAGGGGCTGACAGATCCGTGGTTTAGGGAAGCCTCTGGATCTCGCACAGCAGTGCCGCAAAGTCGTTCCTGGAGGTGGCTCGAGCAGACGTTCTCTGTCAAGTTCCCTTATAGCACAATGGGCCTGCTGTGCCCCCAGCCCAGCCCAGCCCAGGGGATGTGGTCGGTTTTCTTTTGCCCTCCAATTCCCGAAGCATTTTAACCTGCTTTCAGCCAGGTGGTGTTTCTTTTGAGGCTGCCTCCCCCCCCCCACATCAGACCATTTGCAGCGATCTGTGTAGTATTAAAAATGTACTAACTGATGCAAATGAACTCTGGCTTTTAAAACAAACTACATTTCCTGCTGTGGGAGGAGGCAGCAACCCTGTTTTCATTTGTTTGGAACAAAAACACCAGGAATCGGCCACAGAGGTGAGGCAGCCGGAGGCAGCCGGTGCCTTGCCTGCCTGGGCTCAGTTGCTTTGTCATTCCCTCCGAGCAGAGACAGGCAACCACTCCCCTCCATTGTCCTCGGCTCTCGTCCACCGCTGGACCTCTTTCAAGGGAGCAGCCATCGCTTCCGGCTTGCGGGGCCACTTTCCAGCCTTTGTGGTGTGTGGTGGTGGGCAGGGAGCCCTTGGGTGTTTTGCAAAGCCTCGGTTAGGTGGAACGGAGCCCCTCCCCTGCTTTCCAGCCTATCTGCTTTTTAAAATCAGGACACTTTTTTTTTTACTGCATCATTTTTACCATTTTTACCAATGCATTTTTTTTAACTGCACCATTCCCCCCCCCCACAAAATCTGGCTCCTAAGAGCACACATGGGAAGCTGCCTGGTACTGAATCAGACCGTTGTATAAATCTCGCCAGGTCCGTGTTGTCTGCTCTGACTAGCCAGTGGCTCTCCAGGGTCTCAGGCCGAGGACTTTCACGTCACTCACTAATAATGATGTGCGGCAGGGGTCGTTTCGTAGAAGAAGAGCTAGGGGGACTCATTAGCATAACTCATTAGCATATGTCTCACCCCCTGACATCACCGGAAGTGTGTCATAAGGCCACACCCCCTGACATCACCGGAAGTGTGTCATAAGGCCACACACCACGCCCCCAGCGGTCCCGGCCGCCGCCGGCGGCCTTGCAGCTACACTGCCGAGCCCCATGAGAGGCCCGGCGGGGGAGCTGCAAGGCCGGCGGGAGGGGCAGGAAGCCATCCCTGGCCCCAGGCAGGCAGGGGTGGGGAGAGGCAGGGAGGAAGCAACTTACCCTCCCTCTTCTCCTGCCTCCTCCTGGCTGAATGAGGGCCGGAAGCAGGGGGCGTGGCTTTGTCATGTGCCCCGCCCCCGTACCTCACCCGGGGGAACGGCGATCCCCCGCGATCCCCCCCGAAATGACCTCTGATGTGCGGTCCAGTCGCGACCGACTTATGACAGCCACTCGTGCGGTTTTCGAGGCAAGAGAAGAGCGAGGGTGGTTTGCTGTCGTCAACTCTATGTAGTAGGGGTTGCCAGACTCCAGGGGGCAGCTGGATATCTCCTGCTATTACAACTGATCTCCAGGCAACAGAGATCAGTTCCCCTGGAGAAAATGGAGGCTCTGGAAAGTGGACTCTATGGCATTATACCCCATTGAAGTCCCTCCCCTTCCCAAACCCCGCCCTCCTCAGGCTCCACCCCCAAAATCTCCAGGTATTTACCAAAACTGCAGCTGGCAACTGTCCTGCATAGCAACCCTGGACTTCCTGGGTGGTCTCCCATCCAAGTACTAACCAAGGCTGTCCCTGCTTAGCTTCCAAGCTCTGATGAGCTCAGGCGAATCAGGGCGATCACTTACTACCTGGGCCCTTTTAAACTGGAGCTCTTGGGGATCGAACCTGGGACCTTCTGCGTGAGAAGCAGGTGCTCTGCTGCTGAGCTACAGCCCCCCCCCCAAAACCCCTCCAGTCTCCTTTCCTGGCTACCCAATCGGCTTCATTTCAGGAGGGGAAACGGATCATACTGTCTCCCTGTGAAGGCTTAGGCTGTAGTATCTACACCATGCCTGTCCGATGCTATCCCACATAGCTGAAAGAGAGGGTGGGCTTGCTGTTCCCTTAGTGGGAGAGCCCTGTTTTCAGAAGGCACTAACCGTGCAATCCTAAACAGAGTTACACCCTTCCAAGTCTAATGAACTCAATGGGCTTAGAAGGATGTGCTGTAACTCGCCCATATAATATTCAGTACAATGGCAGTTTTGGCAAAACCTTTCTGAATTAAAATTGTAGAATCACTGTTCTATGAAGGTTAGACAGGAGATGGGCATAGGCAGGGGTCATTTCATGGAAAAAGATGTGCAGGGGCTCATTAGCATAACTTATTTGCATATGCCACACCCCCTGGCATCACCGGAAGTGTGTCAGAAGGCAACACCTTCCGCTCAGGCTCCACTGGATTGTTTTGGATTGCTAGCTATTGGGGGGGGGGGAACGCACAGCTCTGCCCTCACAGAGGAGGGAGAGCTTGTACCTGAAGGTGGGCCGGGGGGGGGCTCTGCAACTTACCTGGCTGCTTCTTGCTCCTCGTGGCCTGACTGAGGGCTGCTGGGTGCAGGGGGCGGGGCTTTTTGCATGTGCCCACCCCCTGGGCTCCTCACTGCCGGAGCTCCGCTCCTGTGTGCTCCCACAGGAAATGACCCCTGGGCATAGGACGTGTTCAGTGAACTCTACCACGTGCGTCACCGGGGTTATTCTGTGTTCATCATAATACCCGGCACCGGCAAAATGCTTTCAGTGTTCAAAGTGCACCCAGGCTCTTATCACATGTCGAACAGCCCTGTAAGGTAGACCAGTCTTGTTATTGCCGTACTGCAAAGGGAGCTGCTGAGGCTCAGAAAGTCTTCCAGTAAGTCTGTGGCTGAAATGAGATCCGAGATGGCAGGTTTGCAGATTACAGCTCATTCTGTTAGCCTCAGTTTCACTCTAGCTCTTCAGTGTGTTTTTTTAAATTTGTTGGCAGTGGATGTCAAGGTTTAATAAGCTGCATTTGGGAGCACCTCAGTGTTGGGGCGGGGAGTAGAATATATAGATATTTTAGCATGAATACTGAGATGGCAGAAGTTGTCCGGGTTCTTCCCAAGTCTTGCTGTTCACCCTCCTCCCGTCTTTCCCAAAGCAGCGTGTGTGTGGAGGGGAGGAGATTTAATCCTGCTACATACCAAACAGGGGAGAGGGATAAGCAACTGGACCCCAGAAGAAACAGAACAAGTCGTGCAATAGCTAGAAACCCCTCCCACGGCCTCACCACCATCACCACTAATGCACCACCATCGCATGAGTTTACCATCTACGCCCTATATATGGACATCATGATGTGGGGCATGTATCATCAAGGCCCGAAATCGTTGCATTATGGGTGAGAACGGGACGTCTAGGGGGCGGCCATCTTTTTAGAAACTGTAAATTGGAATTTAGTTGAGAGGAGCACTATGATTGTTTTTATTTTGATGTATTTTAAGAAATTTTGTACTGTCTTCTATTTTATGTGGCGACATGCCTTGTTAGCCGCCCTGAGCCTCCGGGGAGGGCGGGATAAAAATGCGAATAATAAATATAAATAAATAAAAGGAAGGATTGTGTTATCCATGTTGCAATCTGGCAAGTGTACCTACC